GGATTCGAACCCGCCACCTTAGGTGTATGTGGCTGGCGCCTTAGCCGCTTGAGCCACAGGCGCCGAGCCTGTCAAACTATTTTTAATATGGAAGACATAATAGCATGTTTGCAGGCAGAAGGGAATATAGTAGAGGGCAAAATTCATGACAGAATAGGTAAAAGATGGAACCTAACAGACAAGTGAAAAAGCTTGTTTAAATAGGGCAGGAATAACCTGGCCAGGGCGCAGTGGCTCACGTCTGCAATCCTAGCCTGAGTAACATAGTGAAGACTCCATCTCTACAAAAAAAAAAAAAATGTAGTCATGCCTGGTGGCACATGCCTGTAGTCCTAGCTACTCAGGAGGCTGAGACAGGAGAATCTAGGAGTTTGAGGTTACATGCAGTGAGCTATGATGCCAGGTATGGTGGAATATGCCGGTAGCCCCAGCTATTCATAAGACTGAGGCTTATTTGAGCCCAGGAATTAAGAAATTACAGTGAGCTATGATGCTGCCATGCACGCTAACTAGTGAGACAGGGGGAAAGCATGTCTCAAAAGAACAGAAGTCTTCAATGAAAGAGTAAATGGGATAGAAAAATATGCTGGAATAGTGAGATGGTACTAAGGTCTATGTGAGCTCTTAACTTTAAACACAAAGACACATTCAGTTGCACAAGTGCTAAGTGCAGATAAGGAGTACTTCAAAAATGGAGTTTAGCCAGCTAAGCACAGTGAAGCAAGAGATGGGGCAATTTACTGTATTTATCTAAAGAGACTGTCACGATGGATAGGAGAATCTAAGCTGAATAATGAAGAACATGAGGTGGTGAAAATTATGTAACAGGATAATGAATTCTAAGTTATTACATTCATCCACTGTTAACTGCCTACATATTTGACTCCCCACCTTCCAAAGTGGAAACTGGTGTCATCTTAGTATCACAGCATCTAAGTTTGTTATTTGGGGGGGGGGGGGGGGGGGGTGCTTACCTATAGAAGGGAAATTCCCCACCACCAAATTCTATAATATATAAATTTGCCACTTCCTCTCTCCTCTTTAGTAGTTCAAGTAAAATCAAACCCTATGGTATAAACAAGCAGGGCAAGATGGCATGAGCCTACAGTCCCAGCTACTTGGGAGGCCGAGTCAGGAATGCTTGAGGCCAAGAGTTCTAGGCTGCAACTATGACCAGGCCTGTGCACTCCAACCTGGGCAACATATGGTGAGACTGCTTTCTCTTAAAAAATAAAAAACATATATATGTGTGTATGGTATAAGCAAATCCTTTGGCATAAGATGATTAATTCCTACAATGCTATATCCAAGAACTGAATCACAAAATATACCAGATGTATTCCAACTAAGGTTGTTTGCCTTACTGAACACCTGGGTGGTATGAAATCTTTGAATTTCCCAGCCTCTGGTTATTTCACCTCTGTATAGATTAGCAGGACCCCAAACAGGCCTTGTAAATGCCTCCTTTCTAGGGGAGTAGATATAAATGAAACTCTATACTTTTTAAGCAGACATAAATGAAACTCAATTTGGGGATAAGGGAAAAAATGCACAAAGAGCGTGTAAAATATGGTTTATTGTTCTTTAAAAGGGCTTACGGTTTGGTTTTAAATCAGGCTGCACACCTTTTATCAGTCTGACACATCTCTCACCATGTCAAACTGGCTTCAGCTAGTAATACTTCATTAAATCCAAAAGAAAAAATTGTTTTAATTTTGAGGGGAAAAAATCCAGTTCTGAGAACAATCAACATTAGTTTGTAATTTAAAACAAAACGAGGGCTAATATTTCATGTTGCTTTTTACATCCTCCTCAATGTAGAACCAGGAATGTAGTTTTCTTAACTTAGGCAGGCACTGATACTGATGGACACTGCACGCGCACACACGTATGCATGCACACATGCGCATACATGCACATACTCTTCCTGTGAACAACATAAGTCAGAGCATGTCAAAGGGAAAAGGTTTGTTATGTATTGATCAAAACCCTTGGGAGTCAACAGTCTGTCTTAGCTTAGCAGGTATGCTGTTTCGATCTTGAGTCTATGTTAAAAGAATCTATTGAAAAGAATCTATTGTCATGTTCTGAAATAATTTTGGAAAGTACCATCATTTTTTACTTTAAAATTCTAGAAACAATTTTCAAAAGCATTATTTTGTTTTTGTTTTGTGGGTTGGGGGAGGAGAGAAATCTATAGATTTTCATTTAGTTAAAAAATCTCTGGTAACAGGAAAGAGGCAGTTCACATAGCCGGCCAACATCTGAGGTATCATCAGTGTGAGACAAGGCCCCGGTCCATTCCTGCTAGCCTAGCTTATGCTAACAAAACAGGACGCTTATGGCTCTGCACAGCAAATTCCAGCAGGACACGAGGACCCTAAGCCTGTATTCAGAGCCTATGAAGCACGGCACTATTAAGTACGTAATGTTTAGACAGAAACAGTACAAGAGCCCCTGATGGTGTGCCTCTACTTGCCCTCAGTGTAGCCTGGTTATAACTTCCTTCTGCAAAGCAGCAGAAAATAGCTTTTCTAGATCAACACATTAAATCCAGCAAAGAATCTACAAAAATGCTACTACACCACTTCACAAGCAACACAGTCCCTTTGCTACTCATTGGGTTGCTCGATGTCTCTCTTCTAATTTGTTATGGCCTGTGGACACATACTCACTAGGCATTACTGGTTTTAAACCAGGGATTTTCTTTTTTAACCTCAAAAAGAACCCAGTAAGAAAATAACAAGGCAATCAGTGGTTAAACTAAACTGTACATATATGGGGCAGTTTGGAAAATACCCACCATTAGCATTTCTAAAGTCCAAAGTACTGTGAATTTGCTACTAATCCTTTGACTGTTCCAGAAAATTCAGAGTACAACTAAGTCCTAAAATAAAAATTTTAAACTACCGGCATTCTCTGATATCATTAGACAGAAAATCAGAGTAATGCTACAGCCCACAATTCTATAGGGTGGAGAAAGTGTGCTCTCTGCCTGAACACTTCATTAGTGATGGCCTGGAGTCCTCCCTTTCAGCAGATAAGTTTCTGGGATACCCACTTAGCTTCATTGGTTGGGAAAGACAAGAATTCGACTCTCAGCTAAGTTCTTTGAGAAGAGACTCCTCTTAAAATGCCATTTCCCTACTAATTTGTCAAAACAAAAAGCTCTTGGCTACTCTAACGTTAGATATGGTTTTGAGGAAAAGAAACTAACATGAACATGAACACCCCGTCATCAATAAAAACTAATAACCACCTGGATCACATAATGTATATATGCCACTGCTTTTTTTTTTTTTGGTGTTTTTTCTAAAAGTGCCCGGGTGGGCTTAAGGCTGCCAGACTGCACGTACATCTACAGCAACAAGGGCTTCTCCTATTCCATCTACAACTTATATCAGGGAAAAATAGGAAGTAGGAGAGAAAAGAGAAAAGAGGGGGGAAATATACCACCCTCCCCCCAAAAAAGGAAAAAAAAAAAAATCCCACCACAGGGAGACCTATGTGCCAAGCATAATGGAAGAGTGTGCTCCCCAAACAAGATGGTTCTGCACAGGCTAATATTCTGCTGGTTTTCCTTAGAGACCTATTTTGAAAAAAGTTAAAAAGACAGAAGATTATGAAATAATTCAATCCTAGCAGAAATCCAAACTCCAAAACCAGGAGCAAAATCATCCTTCACTAAATTAATCCCTTTTTCTTTCTCTTTTTCTTTTCTTAAACATTTTATTCGTGTTATAGAGGGATTTCTTTTGTTTGCTTTTTTCCAATCATTAGGAGAGTGGTTGAGGAATACTGAATCCATCACTACTTCGATGACACAGGTAAGATTTCCAGATTCACATTTCCAGGTACCAAGAGTTCCCTCTCAATGCCACAATCAAGTCAGCCTTCGTTACATTTCTTTCTACTGAACACAGCAATGCCCATTGGTATCTCTGAAGCGTAATCGCATCTTAGGTCGGTATTTCTCCAAGTAAAGCAGCTGTTTGGAATTGAATGCTCCCCTTCTTTTTCTGAAAATACAAGAACGGAAAACTTTATCATATAAAAAAAAGCTAATTCACTGCAATTCGTTATTTACAATCTAAGGACTATCTAATTAACTCTACATAGCTGAAAACCAGCAAATTCCAATACTACATCATTTCCTTTTTTTTTTTTTTGGAGACAGAGCCTCACTATTTCATCCTCAGTTGAGTGCTGTAGCATCACAGCTACCTCAAACTCTTGGGCTTAAGCCAGTGGTTCTCAACCCATGGGTCGTGACCCACAACTTTATTAAAGGGTTGCGGTATTAGAAAGGTTGAGAACCACTGGCTTAATCGATTCTCTTGCCTCCGCCTCCCAAGTAGCTGGGACTACAGGCGCCTGCCGCAACACTTGGCTATTTTTTTGTTGCAGTTGTTTAGCTGGCCTGGGCCAGGTTTGAACCCGCCACCCTCGGTGTATGTGGCTGGCACTGTAACCACTGTGCTATGGGTGCCAAGCCCTGATACCACATCACTTCTTGAAGAGCTAAGTTCCAAAATGAACTTTCTGAGCATTCGTAGAATAAACAGATTTTGTTGACTGCCATTGTACTCTATTAATTATTTAATAAAGATCAGAATGGTTTATCCAGAAACATCTGATTATACGGGATGGCGCCTGTGGCTCAAAGAGTAGGGCACCGGCCCCATATACTGGGGGTAGCGGGTTCAAGCCCAGCCCTGGCCAAAAAAAATCTGATTATACTCATCCCAATTAGATTAATATAGTCTTCAGATTAGAACTAGTAGCAAGTATTTGGATGCTAAAAATAATACATTAAGACAAAGGAGCAGGGCTGGGCATGGTGGCTCTTGTCTGTAATCCTAGCACTCTGGGAGGCTGAGGCAGGAAGATTCCTTAAGCTCAGGAGTTTGAAAACAGCCTGAACAAGGGAGAGACCCCAACTCCACTAAAAACAGGAAAAAATAGCCAGGCATTGTGATAGGTGCATCTGTCTGTTGTCCCAGCTACTTGGGAGGCAGGAGAATCCCTTGAACCCAGGAGTTTAAGGTTGCTATGAACTAGGCTGATACCATGGCATGCCAACCTAAGCCACAGAGTAAGATTCTGTCTCCCTCCCACCCCTAAAATAAGAGCAGGTTCAAGACATATACAAATGGCATCTCTTGAAATACACTGTCTTCCAACAAGAGCTGTTACATATTTCCTGCCCTCCATCACAATCTGTGCTTTTTTCTTTCCTTTTCTTTCATTTTCAAAAAAAGAGTTGAAGGGGAAAGGGCAAGACAATAACTGCCAAAGAATTCTGGACCAAAAAAATAGCATGGCCTGGCAGACTGATGCCAAGATTCTGTCTGGGCACTACCATAGTAATTTTTTGCCTGGATAGGTTGTGTTAAGAGTCCTAGATGATTAACTGATCCTTTATGCATTGCTTTTCCTTCCTTGTCATAGAAAGTTGTATTTGGAAGTTATATGGAATCTATTAAAAGAAGCACTAGGTCAATGACACTCTAGCTATTTTCAAGATTCCTACATATTCAAATCCTATACTGGACAAAAGTCCAAATTTGCCACCCTGATTAGAAAATCTTTAACTCTGGAATACTGAATTCTTTATCACTTACTTTAAATATTTTACTTTTTTTTTTTTTGCAGTTTTTGGCTGAGGCCGGGTCTGAATCCGCCACCTCCTCCTTCAAGCCACAGGAGCTGCCCTAAATTTTTTACATCTTAATAATTTAAAGCAAAGAAAATTTTCCCACACTACAAATGGATACTTTCCACAGTTCATTCCTCATACATAAGCTTGCTTCATGTGTTTCTCAACACAAAACTTCATACTCACTGTCTTATAAACTGAACTGCATCTTCATACTTCATTCCACATTCAATCAAAGCAAGTGCAACCAGCACAGGTGCCCTGCAGAGAGAAACTCATATGTAAATATCCACAGTCTTTGGAATTAAAGGATTTTTCATTGCAGTTTAGCCAGGGTTTGAACCTGCCACCCTCAGTGTAGGGGGTCAGTGCCTTACTCACTGAACCACAGGCACCGCCCAGAATTAAATGATTTTTTAAACCTGACGATTACCTATTACCAAAATAAAGCAAAGCTTGAGTTTTTCTTTTTCATATATACAAAAATAATCTGATAATTTTCTATACAGCAAAACTATCTCTATCATTATAATAGCTTCTATCGTATCTTTTTAGTAAAGCACTGATTCTAAACCTACATGAAGAGAACTTTATTATTTAAATCAAATTACATCTCAAATTTTCTCATTATATATTATCAAAAACTATTCACTGGTCTTTAGCCATTATCACAGTAAAATAAACGACCAAACATATCATATACCTAGAGTGTGTCAGAATTTTCATTATAAATTTCGTTTAACATTTCCTTATCAAATGCTAAAAAGGTGCTAGACTTTTTCAACAAAATCCTTTGGATGAGCTAGGAGAGTGGCAAAGAACAATTAGGAACAGCTCTCCCTATATTTGGAAATCATGGTTTTAAAAATCCCCTTAAATAAATAAATAAACAAAATTAGTGTTAATACACCCCTTAATACACCAACTTCAGACTACCTAATTAGGATAGCTAACAGTTATAAAATGGTCCCAAGTCAAGTGACAACACTATCTTCAACTTTTAGGATAAGAACTAAAACTTTTGACCTTATGAAGAAACTAGCAATACCACACTAAAATGCAAAAAAGGAAAACAGTAAACAAAAGGACAAAGCAGAGCTAACAGCCAAAGTCTACACCACCTTGAGGCAATGATAGCCTGCACTAATGTTCTGAGTCAAGGTGCAGATCCTACATTGGTATTTCATTTGCCGTTGATGACAGTGTCACAATGCTAAGATCAAAGTCAATTCTTATCCATACATTTCCTTTCAAGAGTTTAGAGTTTAGGCTCGGCACCTGTAGCTTAGGCGGCTAGGGCACCAGCCAGCCACATACACTGGAGCTAGCAGATTTGAATCCAGCCCAGGCCAAAAAATAGCTGGGCATTGTGGTAGGTGCTTGTAGTCCCAGCTACTTGGGAGGCAGAGGCAAAAGAATCGCTTGGACCCAGGAGTTTGAGGTTGCTGTGAGCTGTGATGCACAGCACTCTACTGAGGGCAACAAAGTGAGACTCTGTCTCTTAAAAAAAAATAAAGAGTTTAGTGTTCAGCTATCTGCTTTCTACCTATTAACCTCCCATTCATCTCAATCTAAAATAAACAATGTATAGTTCTTCAAACTCTAAAATGATTTTAATTTTGTTGCCTATTTCAACGACCTGAACCTTTTATTATCTGAAATACAGAAAAAAATAAAATACCCACTAAATCCAGTTCACATTAGAATCAGACAACCAAGTGAAACACAGAAGGTTGCTGTAAGAAATCATTACCCTAGCTTTTTATCTCATCTTTTCTTTCAGATAATTTAATACTCTTTAATATAACTCATGCAATTTCTACCGAAGTGAAATTTTCATCATAGTAACAAATTCACAGACAAAAAGATGAGAGCTTACCTTCCCAATCCTGCAACACAATGCACTGCAACACAGCAACCTGGCTCTTCACGAAATTTAGTTTTTAACAGATTTAGCCAATCATCTACTATCTGATTAGGGGGTGGAGCTCCATCATCAAATGGCCAATCCTAGAAAGAAATGATCTAGTACATTAAATTGATATTTTCTCCAATATTAACATCTTAATACAGAATAGTTGCATATAATAATATACAAGGCAAGCCTAACTGAACCACTTGACACAATTCTGATCACTGCTGAAAAATTATCCAGAATTTTAAAAATTTGCTCAATAATTAGCCTTCTCAGTGAAGTATAGTTATTGTACACATCTAAATTTATCTTAGGAAAATCTCTGTATCAGGGTCAAAAGAGCTGGTATTTTCCCAAATATTATAGCTGAACAGAGTAGTAATTAAGACTACAATTAAAACCAAGACAAAGTACGAAAGGATACAACACATGTCAACATGATTTAAAAGTCCACTCTGGCAAAGTGTTCCAACTGGTGTTTAATTGGTCTCTACAAATATTTTTGAAGATTATTCCCCAGATGACTCTAAATTATGACATCTTCAGAAAAGGTTCTCTGGTAAGAATTTTCCAACTGTTAGTAAATCATAATAGTTAACATACTGCTAACTTTGCCTATGCTCAGAAATTTTTTTTTAAGTAGCAATTATTTTTAAGACTCTGCTTAAATTATACATATCCCATTTAACAAGGACAGTGTTACACGATAGGGTCCTGAGCAAATGGAGCCTATTTTGTCAAGTATCCCTTTCTCTTTTTGTATTCATAGATTTGGGTTGTTTTTTAATTAAGACTAACCCATGTGTATTCAAAGCACAGGCAAGGGTTTACCTGCCTTGCTACCTACCTAAGAAACCAGTACAAATAGGCAGCAGAGAGGCTGAGATTCACATTTTAAATGCTCTCTCTCCTCCCATTGAAACTTCAAAAACAGAAAAGCAAAAACACTATTGGAAATTTTTTTTTTTTTTGAGATAGAGTCTCACTATGTCTCCCTTGGTAAGAGTGCCGTGGCATCACAGCTCACAGCAACCTCAAAGTCTTGAGCTTAAGCGATTCTCTTGCCTCTGCCTCCCAAGTGGCTGGGACTACACGTGCCCG